AAAAAGTATTCTCATAGCTTCATAAAATTACGGTTGAACCACTGATGTCACATGGACTATTTTAATGATGGCCTTCCTGCCTTTCTGGGCCTTGAACATGTTAGTAGTACCATTGCTGTCTATGCAGGGTCAGAAAGCTCTCGGATTTCATCAAAAATATGTGTTCTGAAGATGAACGAAGGTCTTACAGGTTTGGAATGACATGAAGGTGTGTAATTAATGACAGCATTTTCATTTTTGGGTGAACTAACCCTTTAAAGAGGTACTTCTCCTCAAACGTATCTTGTTCAGTGTATGTAGCTCAGTGAGCAAAAGTAAAGGAATAAGGGTTCCCACAGTTTGTTTGTTTTTTATTTATTTGTATATTTTTGTATTTTTTAATAGCAGAACAGGTTAAATAATGTAAGTTAACAGCATGTTTTAGCAATGAAAGTTATGAAAATGAACAGTGCAAAAGTAAAAAAAAAACTATTTATGATATTCTGTATATTTTATATAAAAAAATCGTATGACCTTATTATATCATGGTATTATGACCTTTGAATCTTAAACGTAAACTTGGTATAGTAAAAGAGGAAAATATAAAATGATTAGAAAAATCCTTAACCAGTAATCTGAAATAAACTAATACATTTAAAAATATTTAAAAAAATAAATACAAAAACATCTTTAAAAAAAAAAAAGCGATAAGATTCTAAGAATCAAAGGTCATAATATCAAAATGTTAGGGTCGTAAGATTTTTGTATCCACCTTATTCCTAAACGCGGAAGTAAGCCTATGGGCGAGACTTCCGGTTAATTAGCCCCTATAGGAAAATAACGAGAAGAATAACAACGTGCAGTAAACAGTAAAACTGTTTGCATTGCAAACCAGTGCGTTCATAATTAAGATAATAAACAAAAATAAAATGGTAATTTGCAATATCAAGCAGCAAAACGAGCGGTTTTGTACAGCTAAAAATAGCTGGACATGGATGAGACCCATAAAATGTAAAAGTTAAAAAAAATCAGTAGATATATATATTAATAGGGAAGAGGGAAGGTACAATGATTTTTTTTCATTTTTTATTATTATTATTATTTTTTTTTTAGATACTTTCCACTTTACAGCTTTCCACTCCCCACCCTTACTCCAGGTCACCATGCAGTTCCTGGGCCGTATCCTGGACACGGTGAGCTCCGTGTCGACTCTGTTCTCCAACCCGTACCGTGTGAGAGATGTGCAGTTGTCGGATTATAATGGCAAAGTGCTACTGAAACAGGAGGGCAGGCTGGTCCTGTACAAGAACCAACAGAGCCATTCATGGGACTGCCTGCTTCTCTGCCCCGAGTCTTCATCTGTGGCTCTGAGGTGAGACCCTTTAGTTAAGCTTCACAATACAGCATGACCCATCTTCAGTCAATAAATTGATTTCCCACTAGGATCCTGTGATTTATGATTTCATCATAATCTTGCAAAAACTCCCATATTGCTTCACAGTATGTTGAACAGATTTGCTTTCCGCTTAGCCACCGCCCTGAATATGGCTTTACATTGTCATCCACTTCATTAGCTCATCATATGTGGGTTTCCGGAATGACTGGAACTGTGATTTTGATATCTTTGTGCTCAGGATGTTCCAGGTAGCTTCAGAGGAAAACGCCATGAATTGGTTTCCTCAGTATGCCCTCAAACTCCGCCCATTTTATGAGATGCTCCGCCTACCGCTGAAACCTGAAATGTTCCAGCCAATCGTGGACTGCGTGCGGAATCACCCCGACTGGAGCTCGGCTCACATCGCCGTGGATACTGGACTGAGAGACTGTCTCAAACACAATTACGTTTTGAGGTGAGACGTCAAAGGACAAAGTTCAAAGGTCACATACACTGTATCTGAGAAGTTTCCACATTCAATTTTTAATTATATTAAATGTACTATTAATTATTATTAATTGGCGGGTACAACTTTTACGAATTATAACAATGCAATGAAGTGAAATCAACAGACAGTTTTTAAAGAGATTCGCTGTTTCTAACATAAGCAAATAAAATAATCTTTTACGAAGACCAGGGGCCTCATGTATAAAACTTTACGTAGATTTCATCCTAAATGTGTGCGTATGCACAAAAGCTAGATTTTGCGTACGTACAACAGTTTTCAGATTTATAAAACCATGCACACGCCAGAACCTGCACAAAATTCCCTTTGTAATACCCACTCAGCGGAAGATTGTGCGTACATGAACCTCCACCCTGTCTCCTCCCCGAAATAGCGATATATGGAGCTTAGTTTTAATATGCATAACGTCATCTGCATATCATTTCCATGCATATTCCCATCCACGTGACACCACGTTTAACGCAGTTAAGGGCAGGAATACGTTAGGAAAATATGAGATACAGACTATAAATGCGATTTGAGACATCACTATTCTAATTTATGCAGTTTGCCTTAAAGGTAAACATATATTTTAGAATGTTTATAGCCTATATTTTTATGGAAAGAGATAGGCCTTATTTTATTTTGCAGTGGAACTATAGCTGTCTGACTCACCGCATCAATAACAAAACATTTTGAAAATAAAACGTGCATATCTTACAGTTTCCTTCAAATTCTATCTTTTAAATATGGTGTTTGTCACAATATTGGGAGCACGAAAGGGATATCATTAGGCTACTGTCTGTGTGCGACACTTGTGAACAGTTCTACTGTCATCAGACCAATGGACTGTTTGATCAACGAGCGCATCCTTTTGTCTTTCGTTACCGCCTATGTTCCAAAGCCATCATTATTCTTGCAAAAGTCTTTTCTCAGAACACGAGTTTTGCTATTTAGAACATAATTTAAAGCGGAATTGTCATGCGCCAAGCAATCCTCGCTGTGATGAAAA